TAAATTGACGGGACGAAGTCAAGTGCTGTTTGCCACGTTCCTTGTGCTGACATCCCTTGCAAGTATACAGGACAACCTGGACGACAACAGGAAATTAGGTTGCGCAAATACAAAATGTCGGTTCTGTGGGGCAAGCGCACTATGGATCGTAACTACTCAGTATCTTGAATAATATCATGCCTTTAATCCTGCAGCAGCAGCTGCTGCTGATGCATTCATTGTTGGAGGAGTCGTGAGCGTGATCGCGAGTGGGTTAATCGAGACTTGGGAATCAGATCGCACATTGCTAACCAGATGCATCAAACTGCTTGCCGCATAGGAAGCACAAAGTGGTCGAACTGAAGGGAACATTACAGGCCTATAATTGGTGTCTGTTATGAGGGCCGATGCAGGTGTCAGGAAGAATGAGCTGGCTAACTAAATCACAAATTAAACAGTTCGTTTTGTTTGCCCGTTATTATATCTAAGGATGGGCACTAGAAGCGGTCTGGAAATTCGAATGAATATTTACTTGTTCCGAGCGACTCATTCTCCAAATTTAATTAAGTATTTACCGTGTAAAAATGTGTGTCAATATCCTGGTTATTTGTTGTGTGAACCAGGGGGTGCGGAGTGGAGCGCCAAGGTGCGGATCCGTCCAAGCCATCCACCTGCGGCCTTCCTTATCTCCGGTCTTCTTGACTCTGTCTTGACACCAGGCACAGCTGGGGCGGAAGAGGGAGTGTGCTAGATGCATCGCAAGTATACTGGCACTATAAACCCCCGCGCAAGTCACTGTGCCTGTTCCCACCACTGCTGCAGCTGTGGGGCACACGGTGGACATCATCGAAAATCATGGTCGAACTATCGTGTGTGTGTGTGTGTGTGCGTGCGTGTGTGTGTGTGTGTCTGTGTGTGGAATGGAAGAATTTCTCCGCGATCAAGACTGTCCGACAACCAAAATCACTGTCCCTACTCCAAACACCTGCTGTGGGGCAAACGGTGGACATAGTCGAAATCGACGGTCGAACTGTGGTGTGTGTTGAGAATTGCATGCTTTAATGGTCCCACGTATTCAACAGACGGTGACCATTCTTTTCGTCAAATTGTCGGAGGATGCGTACTTTTTGCATCTCTTGTGTCCTGGCATAGTTATCTTCGTTGTCCATGGGATTACATTCTAGAAGGACTCCTTTTGTCTGCTGGCATTCTGATACACTAAACACCTTATGGTCGAATCAGAAGAGTGTGTTATTTTTAAGGGACTTGCCAGACGAGAAAAGTAGGCTGTCTCAATACTCTGCTTTAAGAATATTTTGTTGCTTTGAAATAGCTCCCAAATTTGGCCGTCAGTAGGTAATAGACACGCAAGACTAGATTAGCATATTGGCAAATATGAGAAAGGTATACTTGATGTTTTTGTGCAGATAAGATTGACAAATTAATGGATATTTTCGATGGAAATCTGGTTACTGGGAACACAAAGAATTAGCCTTGAGCTGTATCAAAGTCAACTGTCAGAAACTGCTGTCTATTTGCCTGGGGATGCGGACCATTTCTCGGATCTATTCTATGGCACACTTAAGCACCGGCAAATCTGCTAGTGGTTATCACGATTTAAGCAGTCAGTATTGCCGTGCTTCGTAGATATAAATTATGTCAAATATTATTTTCTTCTGGTGTCAGCGTTCCGTTTTCTATGGAGGACGCATATGTTGGTTTTGCTGAAAGTTTACCTAATGCCTAATCCCTCGATGATCGGTTGACCGAACCCTGTAATTTATCTTGATTTTTTCTGTTTCGCAGGTGCCTGAGACAAGGTTGCCTTATTCACTCCCGATTTTTGTACCCGATTTTTACACTGTCGGTCTGCGTCGTATTGATCTGGACGCCGGAATGATTTCCAATTTTTCTGAAGGATATTTTCCGCGATTAACACATTGATGCTGTCTGTGCTTTTATTTTCCTTTTGAAATATTCTCTTTTTGTAATCTCCAACGGTGTGAATGAAAGCGCCTCCTTACAGTGTGTGGCCAGATTTTTTCACAATACACAGCCTCACATTTTATCTGGCGGCAGTTTCAGTCCTAACGGGTTAAGACTCTAGACGAAAATGATTTTTGCAAATGTGTGCAGCGCCTTGCAGAAGTATGCATGCCTCAGACCAAAAGCGACCGGAATTAGTTTTAAGGAATACGTCAAGTTCACTTAGTTTTCCAGTGGAGAACACTTCCGGTTGCTTTCGCCACTTTTCTTGCCTGGGAATATTTTACTAAGAAAATCTGACGTGAGTTTGTAAAAAACCGGAGAAACCGAAGTGGAACACCGTTATGCCCACTTGTCCGCCGGAAGGGATTTTCTCGCAGAGCAAATACTTCTGCAGATGCTTAACATACCTAGGAAATTCCGCTAGTATGAAACGTCGGGGTTTTCAGATAGTGTGATAGCATGTTTCATCGAAGGAATCTAGACACGAATGGTTTGACTGAACGAAATTCTTCTTCACGTCTGCGTTAAAGTCTTTCTGCCGATTTCTGCTTTGCATATCAAAAATGCATGCTCTGGCCTTTCTAACATTCGTTCTCATCATATATGCATAAATTCTACTTCTTGATCCTGTTGCTGAGGCTTCAGCCCCTACCTAGTATCTCTCATTTTCGTGGACTCAAACCTGTCCTCAAGTTGTTGCCAGTGATCAAATCTCCAAGTCCTCTTCGGACAGATTGAAGGTTAACATTCAGAGCTGGTAATACTTTGTTTTAATTTCACTAAAAACGTATGAGGAAAGATTCATCATCTTTTCGCCAGCTACATGGGCTACATGAGCCGTACAAAAACGCAAAATCCAAAATAAGTGGCGCGTGATGTGAACGGCCAAAGTCGAATATACGGACAATTCCAAGTTGAATTACTGTGAGAACAGTAAAATCACTTCATGATTTCTGAAATGGGCTCGGCTCACTGAAAAGAAATCATTTTGCAAAACCACTGGATTAGTGAGGAGCACAAGAGCAGGTGGTGCTACCGAGTTCTGCACAGTTGTGTCTGCGTAACCCTTAATTTTGCAAAAAAATGTTCGAGGGTCCCAACAGACATCCTTGTCGATGAAATCATCTCTAGAATGCAGGCTACGCCCATGAACATCACTGTGATACCTGCAAAATCTGGTAAATACGTTTGACTGATTCAACCTCGATGCAACGCCTGTGGAACGACCCCTGTCATTCAATCCTCTGATGATCTTTTCTTGAATATCGCCATGAGGGAAGGTCAAGATGGGTCCTTCTTTGAAGGGCGCATCTATGACTCAAATGTCGGTTTGACTTAGGCCACCCAGGTTATCTCTCGTGTCCGGATCCGAGATAGACTTAAACAGTGCTGATTTACCGGCGATCAGATGTGAGAAGTTCCACTGCCTTTAGAAATTTTGAGCAACAAAATTTTCTACATGTGTTTTGAAGCGCCCATTGGTTACCTCTCAATCGCAGTCAAATACACGCCTGACTGGCGCCTGTGGTTTTGTCAAGAGTGGCACTTCGACATCCCTAGGCGTCAACATTAGCATTCACCTCACGAAGAGGGCACAGCAGGGAGACTTATGCATGAATTTGTTCACGGTGATGTGGACCGTGTCGCATCTGCATAATTCCCTCCGCCAATACCGGCAGCGTCCCGAAGACAAGGAAAAGTCGAGACGACCAAAGATGGCTGTGGGCGCAGATGCTGACAAAAACACGGCCTGTGTACACGCGCCACGTGCGCCCTGGTCCCCTGCGCTTGTAGCGGGTCACAATACGTTACAGCTTTCCCATTTAAGTGAAATGCACATGACATTTCATGTGACTTTTCGTTGTCATACCGAGGCTCGCAAGGTGAATGGCACGCACGCTGAAGGAGTGATGTGTGCTGTGCTTTTGACAGGTTCCGAGTAGGTTAGTGCTGTGGGTTAGACTAAGGCGGAGCATAGGTGTGTGTGTGTGTGTGTGTGTGTGTGTGTGTGTGTGTGTGTGTGTGTGTGTGTGTGTGTCCGTTTCGCCTCCGGAGGCGAGACTAGCAGGCGGTGCTGGTGACAAAGGCGATCCCGGGTGCTGACAGTTGGGCCGACCATCGCATCATCATAGCCGAAATACTGGTTCGCCTACAGCCTCGCAGGAGATCTCAAGGTAAGCAGCCCCCAGGTAAGCTGAATATTGCCTTGTTGTCTTTGCCTGCTGACCATGCCCATTTCAGCGACGAGCTAGCTCAACGGCTAGACAGCCTTCCAGTCGCTGCCGCCGCCCCCATCGAGGAGAACGCCTCCGTGGAGAACCGATGGTGTCAACTACGGCACACAGTCCAGTCGACGGTACTTGTCGTCCTCGGTCGCGCACGCTGCCAACACCACAACCGGTTCGACGACAACGACGCTGCCATCAGAAACCTGCTCTCCGAGAAGAATCGCCTACATAAGATCTACGTCGACCGTCCCACCGATGACAACAGGGTTGCTTTCTACCGCAGTCGCCGCCTTGTATAACATCGACTGCGCGAGATGCAGAACACCTGGACGGCTCGCAAGACCGAGGAGATTTAAGGGTACGCAGACCACAACGAATGGAATAATTGCTTCTCCACGATCAAAGCTGTTTACGGTCCGCCAACCAAAGGTACTGCACTTCTCAGCCCTGACGGCGGTACCCTATACACTGAGGAGACACAAATTCTACAGCGATGGGCCGAGCACTTCAGAAGCGTCCTCAACCGTCCCTCCACCATCTCAGACGCCGCTGTCGCTCGCCTGCCTAATGTGGAGACCAACACCGACCTCGACCTCCCGCGCTCTCTCCACGATACCATCAGGGCCGTGCAGCAGCTTTCCAGAGGGAAAGTGCTTGGGTTGGTCGCGATCCATGCTGAGATCTACAAACATGGGGCCCCCAACTCATGGATCATCTGACGGCGCTCTTCCAGGAGATGTGGCGTCAAGGAGAAGTCCCGCAGGATTTAGAAGATGCCACGATCGTGCATCTGTACAAGCGGGAATGAAACCGCCACCTCTGCGACAACTACCGAGGTATCTCCCTGCTGAACATCGACGGGAAGATCTTCGCACGCATCCTCCTCAACCGTCTGAACAAGGTCTTCTGCTGAAAAGCCAGTGCGGCTTACGCCTTTATCGTGGGACCACGGACATGATGCTTGCCGTCCGACGACGGCAGAAAAAGTGCCAGGAGATGCGGACCCACCTGTACTCTACCTTCATTGATCTGACGAAAGTCTCCGATACGGTGAATCGCGAAGGACTGTGGAAAATCATGCCGAAATTCGGCTGTCTCCAGCGATTCAGCCAGATGGTACGTCAGCTCCACGACGGCATGTTGGCGCGCATCACGAACGACGGAGATGTCTCAGAGACATTCGCGGTGACCAACGGAGTGAAGCAGGACTGCATCCTCGCGCTCACCCTCTTCAGTCTTGTGTTGTCTGCCATGCTGATGGACACCTACCGTGACAAATGCCCCGGGATCCGCATCGCCTACAGGATGGACGGCCACCTCCTCTGTCAGCGGTGGATGCACTTCCAGTCGCGTGTATCTACAGCCACCGTCTACGAACTTCTCTTCGCCGATGACTGCGCCCTCAATGCAACTACTGAAGGAGACATGCAAAGAACATGGACCTCTTTTCGCCGCATGCGATAACTACGGCCTTATCATCACCACGGAGAAGACGGTGGTCATGCAGAACCGCGACACAACACAGCCCACAATGCACTAAAAATCGGCGTGAACGGAACCCAACTGCAAGTGGTGGACAACTTCACGTATCTGGGCAGTACTCTCTCCCGCACACTGAAGTCGACGATTAAGTGACCCACAGGATTTCCAAGGCCAGTCAAGCCTACGGTCATCTTCAAGTCAGTTTGGAATTGTCATGGTCTTCAACTCTGCACGAAATTAAAGATGCACAAGGTTGTTATCCTACCTACGTTGCTCCATGGAACAGAGACCTGAACGGTGTACATGAAGCAGACGCGTAGGCTCCACTACTTCCACCTTAACTGTCTTCGTCGAATACGGAAGCGGAGGTGGCAGGACCGGATCCCAGACACAAGCGTACTAGAGCGGACGGGAATCCGCAGTATCTACGCTGTGCTGAGACAACTACAACTACACTGTAGCGGCCACCTCGTACGGATGGACGACGACAGGATACCCAAACAGCTCTTCTATGGAGATGCCGAGACGGGTTCACGCCGATAAGGAGGTCAAGTCCGGCGCTAAAAAATACTTTTAATACTTCCCTGAAGCGTCTGCAGATCAACCCGGTCAACTGGGAGGACCTCGCTCGAGACCGACTGACCTGGATGAGGACAGCGAAGACAGACGGAGCGATCTACGAGACAAACCGCATCGCCGCGTAAGCCAAACGAGAAGCACGCAAATACCAGCTGCGCACACCTCGCAATGCCAACGCCCAACCGCCCCCAACGTGTCTACGGTGTCATCGGACAATTCGGGTGTCAACTGAACTTGTTGGATACCTTCGGACCAACTGCAGCACTCGGACTGCACCAACCGTGGTCTCTCCATCCACCTCTCCCTCGCCTCCTACGCCGTCAACTAACTCTAATCGCCCTCCACTACCACTTCTATCCTCCTTCTTCTTCTTCTCCTCCTCCTCCTCCTCCTCCTCCTGCTCCTCCTCCTCTTCCTCCTCCTCTTCCTCCTCCTCCTCTTCATCCTCCTCTTCCTCCTCCCCCACTGCCTGAACGTCTGTCACTGTGGCGTCTGCCATGACGCACCAACGCCACCACTGTCAACACCAGTGGTGGGGACCTGGTCTGTGCCTGTCCTTGTTGCGACCGCACCTTCACTTCACACATCGGCCTGGTCGGTCACTTGCGAATCCATCGCATAGAGGCTGGCAAAGCGGTGCCTGGAGCACCAACCTACGTCCGCCGCATTCGCCACCACTGTCACATGGTCCTCGCACATTCATGCACCGCATGGGCCTGTTCGGCCACAAGGTATTCACGAGAGCGGAATTGACCGCAGCCTCTACACACCCAGCACGCCCACCATTTCTGGCCCCGCCCACGCTCCGCAGACCAGCCCGCCCACCACCACCAGCTCCACCGCACTCAGTACATCTTGCACACTCACCATGCTCAGCCCAACCAACATCCCATAGCCTAGCGTGCCCACCACCACCGACACCGCCGACCTCTCATGTCCACACTGTCTCCGCATATTCACCTTACGCACCGGCCTGGTCGGTCACCCGCCAATCCATCGCATAGAGACTGGCGAACCAGTGCCTGGGACACCAAACTACACCCACCGCATTCACCTCCACTGCCCACATTGTACTCGCGCATTTATTCACAGCATGAGCCTATTAGGTCACATGCATGTCTACGAAAACCTGCGCCAGATTACCGCCGACTGCATCACACCATCACATCCTCCCCCACTAGCATCTCACCGCATATCAATCTCGTCCACATCAAACAACCAACTCCCATCTCCCATGCAAGTGGGAAGTA